ATAATCGACGTCATAAGACTATCTCCTGCTAATTGTTTCTCGTTTATCCACACCAATAATAACTTCTCAACCTCTTCGAGTACTGGTGATCTCATTTTTGTCAGCACATTTACCTCCTTTGCAACAACAGCCTCCTTGATTTCCTTTTTCTTGGCCACGATGGAAGATATGGTTGTACGGGATTTGTTATACATCCCGGCCAGTTTGGCCACACGTACCCCACTTTCATATTGTTCATTGATGTTTTTCTTAAATTCAGTCATATTTCTCACCTTCTTTACCAAAGGCTTGGCACTAGGAGCTTTCTTTGGAGCCATGGTAGCTTATTTAGCACTTGCAAGCACTAAAATGAATGGAATATTATGAAATATTTCATATGAACACGTAAGGGAACCGTCGCTCACTTGTAAACAATGGCACACTGGCTGGGAAGGAAAGGCCGAGGCGGCTCAGAGCCATGAGTACGCGTCCAGGATGATGGACGATTAGCGAGTCAACCGACCATTTGCGAGCCAACGTTTGGACTAAAATAACGCAACAATTTCTGAAAAGGACGACTATCGAGCCCGACTATTATTGAGAGACCACTGTATAACATTTGTCTTTGCAAACATGCAGGGTCTAAGGCCATCAAAAGAAACAAAATTCCTTACATCAAGGGATTGCTCATGGAGTCAATTGCAATAACAAAAAAAAAAAAAAGCACAATACCGTGACTGGAACGATACACAAATAACCTGCACATAGAAGAGAGGAGCTTACGATGACATTACGGTCTAACTTGGACCAATTACAGCATTCACAGAGACCCACATAAAGGATCATTATGACAAAGAAATATGGATCCCAGGCAACAAGGGGGAATTGGTCTGTACATCAGAGTCGCTCATTTGCACAGAACTACTGAACACCTCAAATGAGATAGTTGAAGTTTTGGCGGTAAAGACTGTAAACCAAAACCTTTTCATTGTGGTGGTTTACAAGCCTCCAGATGCAACTTCCCAGCAATTCCAGGAGCAGCTTGTGAAAATTGACCACTGTCTAGAAAATCTCCCAACTCCTGCCCCAAACATCTTATTACTAGGAGATTTCAACTTGAGACACCTAAAATGGAGAAGTATAGCAAACAATGTTTTAGCAGAGATCACCCCAGGAGACAGCTCAGATGAAAATCCACACACACACGAACTATTAAATCTCTGCACCAAATTCACCTTAAACCAACAAACAGTAGAGCCTACAAGACTAGAAAATCCACTGGCTGGACGGACCTCATCTTCACTAACAACGACGATCTGACACATAATATAACTATCAAAGACAATACACTCAGATCACAAAATAATAGAGGTACAGACATGTATGCACAGGGCTTCTGACCAGCAAAATGTAAGCAGTCATGAAGGTCTCTTCACGATATTCAATTTCAATAACAAAAACATAGTGGGATCAAGTAAACCATGTCCTAAATGAAACAAGCTGGGAAGATATTCTAAACAACACTGATCCGAACATTTGTCTTGAAAAAATGAATTCTTTGGTTCTTGAGATCTGCTCAAGACACATTCCATTAAGAAAAAGAAAGAGAAGATGTAAACTAGAAAGAAACGCTCTATATACAGACGAAGGCGAAGAGTCACAGAGCTGCTGAGTGGGACCAATATATTGGAAATGTGAAGGGAGGCACTAGTCACTGAAATTGTAAATATTGAACTTAAGCTGAAGGAATCTTACAGGAGACAAGAATCACAGGAAGAACTAAAAGCCATAAAGGAAATTGAAAAACAAAACAAAATACTTCTTCTCTTATGCCAGATCTAAGAGAAAAACAACATCCAGTATTGGGCCCCTGCTTAGGCAGGATGGGACATACACAGATGACAGCCAAGAAATGATTGAGATACTAAAGTCCCAATATGACTCAGTGTTCAGTGAGCCAATGCCCAGACTAAGGATCGACAACCCAAGTGAATTCTTTATGAATAAAGCCCAATATTTGGCCATCCCAAAACTCTCGGATACTATCCTAACTCCACAAGACTTTGAAGAGGCAGTAAATGACATTCCCATGCACTCTGCCCCAGGCCCAGACTCATAGAACTCCGTGTTAATCAAGAATTGCAAGAAGCCCCTATCGCGTGCCTTCAGCATTTTATGGGGAGGGAGCATGGACACAGGGGTTATCCCACACACACTAAAAACAACAGACATAGCTCCACTCCACAAAGGTGGTAGTAAAGCAATTGCAAAGAACTATAGACCGATAGCACTAACATCCCGTATCATAAAAAATCTTTGAGAGGGTTCTAAGAAGCAAGATCGCCAACCACCTACATACCCATCATTTACACAACCCAGGGCAACATGGGTTTAGAGCAGGTCGCTCCTGCCTGTCCCAGCTACTGGACCACTATGACAAGGTCCTGGATGCTGTAGAGAATAAACAAGATACAGATGTAGTATACAAATACTTTGCAAAAACTTTCGACAAGTGTGACCATGGTGTAATAGCACACAAAATGTGTGATAAAGGAATAACAGGAAAAGTTTGTGGATGGATCTATAACTTCCTGACAAATAGAACACAGAGTAAAGTCCCAGGCAGCCACGGTAAAAAGCTCTGTTCCACAAGGAACAGTGCTCTCTCCCATTCTATTCCTCATCCTCATTTCTGACACAGACAGAGATGTAAGTCATAGCTCCATGTCTTCCTTTGCGGATGACACCCGGATTACCATGGCATTGACCTCCATCGAAGACACCACAATACTCCAAGTGGACATCAACCAAATCTTCGAATGGGCCACTCACAACAATATGAAGTTCAACGAGGAGAAATTTCAACTGCTCAGATATGGGAAACTTGAAGAAATCAAAAATGTATCAGGGTATACAACAAATTCTAGCCATACAATAGAGCAGAAAAGTAATGTGAAGGACCTAGGAGTGATAATGTCAGAGGACTTTGCCTTGAAAGACCACAACAATGTATCTCCCTCATCTGCTAGGAGAATGGTAGGATGGATAGTGAGAACCTTCAAAACTAGGGACTCCAAGCCCATGATGATTCTCTTCAAATCGCTTGTGCTCTCTAGGCTGGAATACTGCTGTACACTAACGGCCCCCTTCAAGGCTGGTGACATTGCAGACCTGGAGAGTGTACACACAACTTTCACGGAATACATAAGTGCGATAAGGCACCTAAATTACTGGGAATGGTTGAAGGTCCTTGATCTGTATTCCCTTGAATGCAGGTGAGAGAGATACATAATAATATACACTTGGAAGATCCTGGAGGGATTGGTACCAAACCTGCACACAAAAATCACTCCATACGAAAGCAAAAGACTCGGCAGGAGATGCAACATTCCCCCGATGAAAAGCAGGGGTGCCACAAGTACACTGAGAGACAACACAGTAAGTGTCCGGGGCCCAAGACTGTTCATTTGCCTCCCAGCATACGTAAGGGGGATTACCAATAGACCCCTGGCTGTCTTCAAGAAAGAAATGGACAGGCACCTTAAGTCAGTACCTGACTAACCGGGCTGTGGTTCATACGTCAGCTTGCATGCGGCCGGCCAGTAGTAACAGCCTGGTTGATCAGATCCTGTATCGTAGGGGTTCTTAAATGGAGATATCGAGGGTTGAAGGTAGACACACTTGTTGGATGGTAACATATATTGTCAGACTGAGGTGATGAGGAATGGAGCCCAGCCTTGCCGTGTTCTTGTCTGGATGGTCTGCCGCCGAGTGAGAGGGAGGCAGAGGTACGAGCCTACACATGTGCATCCCGTGACGTCACACAAAGTCACAGGCCTACAAGGGATCTCCTATCTAAAGCACATGGATGATACTAATATGCTATGCTATATAACACAGGGATCAGCAACTATGCTGACACCTGATCCACCGTGAGGCCTGGTCTCAGACCGGGCCACAGGGGCGTTGACCCCCGAAACCCTCTCCAGGTAAACTCCAGGTAAACACTGAACTTACACAGTGGTTTCATGCCTGTAATGGTATTTAGTAATATCACACACTACATAAAAGGTAAAGAGCTGCTTGAAATAAATAATACTAATTTTTATTGAGTGAAATTATGTCAAGACTGAATAGTAAAATTTTTTTTATTGAACCCTGCCATTAACCCTTAAACGGTCCAAACGTATATATACATCCACGCGCATAGCGCCCCAAATGTATATATACGTTTTCTTTGTCATTCATTCAACATTGCCACATTAAGCCTGAGTCACCTAGACATGAGAGAATGGGTGTGCGCACTCACTGTATGCCATATTAAAATAATTGGGGATGCCTGGGTACCATATGCTCTTTTTTCCTTTTAAAAGAAAAGATTGTTTTTTTCCTCAAAAAAGTTGGGGCGCTACGCGAGTGAACGTATATATACGTTTGGACCGTTTAAGGGTTAAAAAAAACCATGGTACGAGTGGGGCTCCAACTCATGGCAAGTGAATGGTAAAACTCCAAGCCATTGTGTAAACCACTGGGCCAGCCAGCTCAGTGGCTTACACACTGCAGTTTTATGACTCACTTGCCAGGTTTTTACACCTGGAGCTTTACAACTCACTTGCCATGAGTTTGAGCCCCACCTGTACCATCATTTGTTTGCAATCATGTTATTATGATTTTGTGAGTCATGTTAATCCTGCCATTATTAACTGAAGTGCTGCATGATGTACAGTATGGCACATGTTAATTGCTTTATTCAGTACACATGTTTCAGGCCTATGACATCTGTACTAAACTCAATCAGGCTACATGTGCTTTATTCAGTACACTTTATAATTGCATTGAATGCATAGGGTAAAGATATATCAAACATACAAAATGACTGACAGAAATAAGACATTACCTAGTACAAACTGGCAGAAGCACCAGAAACCTTTAAATATTTTATGTTTGCTTTTAAAATCAGTTCACTGGAATCATTTATTCATGTTGAGAATATTCTATAAGTTTTTCATATGAACTTTCAGTACCAGATGCTCCAGCGGGGATCAAAGCTGTTGTGAGTTCTTCCACTACGATCCTTGTGACATGGCTGGCTCCACTGAAGATCAATGGTGTCCTGACTAAGTACACTCTCTACATGGCTGTCAGCAGTGAGCAGAGGATGGTTAGTCACCACTCTTCAACACTGTTGTAATTATGGAATTGAATTCTGCAGTTTACGAGGCTTAGCTTCTTACAGGACTCATTAGTCTTGAAACCATGAATAATTTTTCTTCTATTAAGTGCACCTTCCTCCAGCCAAGGTAAGGTGACCCAAAAAAGTAACACAGATATCAAAACTCAAATGATCGTTCAAACTTGGGCATCCAGGCACTGTACTACCTACCTCTAGGACTCGAGTCTGGCTAAACAGTTTCCCTAAATCCTTTCACAAATGTTACCTTGCTCACACCTCAACATGATGTCTGCCATAAACATCACTTACCTTCTCTTACTCCTGTAAATGTTCGAGGCTCCTCAGTTACTCCACCTCGGTTGCCCCACCTCTGTTATCCCACCTCAGCTGCCCCTCCTCAGCTGCCCCACCTCAGTTACCCCTCCTCAGTTACCCCACTTAAGTTACCCCTCCTCAGTAACCCCACCTCAGTAACCCCACCTCAATAACTCCACCTCAGTAACCCCACCTCAGTAACCCCACCTCAGTAGCCCCACCTCATAACCCCACCTCAATAACCCCACCTCAGTAACCCCACCTCAGTAACCCCACTTCAGTAACCCCACCTCAGTAACCCCACCTCAAGTAACCCACCTCAGTAACCCCACCTCAGTAACCCCACCTCAATAACCCCACCTCAGTAACCCCACCTCAGTAACCCCACCTCAGTACCCCACCTCAATAACCCCACCTCAATAACCCACCTCAGAAACCCCACCTCAGTAACCCCACCTAAAGTAACCCACCTCAGTAACCCCACCTCATAACCCACCTCAGTAACCCCACCTCAGTAACCCCACCTCATAACCCCACCTCAGTAACCCCACCTCAGTAACCCCACCTCAGTAACCCCACCTCATAACCCACCTCAATAACCCCACCTCAGTAACCCCACCTCAGTAACCCACCTCAGTAACCCCACCTCATAACCCCACCTCAGTAACCCCACCTCAGTAACCCACCTCAGTAACCCCACCTCAGTAACCCACTCAAACCCCACCTCAGTAACCCCACCTCAGTAACCCACCTCAGTAACCCCACCTCTAATAACCACCTCAGTAACCCACCTCATAACCCCCTCAGTAACCTCACCTCATAACCCCACCTCATAACCCCACCTCAGTAACCCCACCTCAGTAACCTCACCTCAGTAACCCCACCTCAGTAACCCCACCTCATAACCCCACCTCAGTAACCCCATCTCATTTCACGACACCTCATAGCATATACCTCCACCTCAATACCCCATCTGCCTCCACCTCCATAACCCCCTCCACCCTCCTCCATATGCCTCCACCTCTCCCCATAGCATGCCCCACCTCTCCATCATGCTCCACCCCCTCCATACCCCTCAAACCCCCTCCAGTATGCCTCCACCCTACCTCCATTCTCTCCACCCTCCTCCATACTGATCACCTTCCTCCATACTGCCTCCACCCTCCTCCATACTGCCTCCACCCTCCTCCATACTGCCTCCACCCTCCTCCATACTGCCTCCACCCTCCTCCATACTGCCTCCACCCTCCTCCATACTGCCTCCACCTCCTCCATACGCCTCCATACTGCCTCCACCCTCCTCCATACTGCCTCCACCCTCCTCCATACTGCCTTCCACCCTCCTCCATACTGCCTCCACCCTCCTCCATACTGCCTCCACCCTCCTCCATACTGCTCCACCCTCCTCCATACTGCCTCCACCCTCCTCCATACTGCCTCCACCCTCCTCCATACTGCCTCCACCCTCCTCCATACTGCCTCCACCCTCCTCCATACTGCCTCCACCCTCCTCCCATACTGCCTCCACCCTCCTCCTACTGCCTCCACCCTCCTCCATACTGCCTCCACCCTCCTCCATACTGCCTCCACCCTCCTCCATACTGCCTCCACCCTCCTCCATATGCCTCCACCCTCTCCATACTGCTCCACCCTCCTCCATACTGCCTCCACCCTCCTCCATACTGCCTCCACCCTCCTCCATACTGCTCCACCCTCCTCCATACTGCCTCCACCCTCCTCCATACTGCCTCCACCCTCCTCCATACTGCCTCCACCCTCCTCCATACTGCCTCCACCCTCCTCCATACTGCCTCCACCCTCCTCCATACTGCCTCCACCCTCCTCCATACTGCCTCCACCCTCCTCCATACTGCCTCCACCCTCCTCCATACTGCCTCCACCCTCCTCCATACTGCCTCCACCCTCCTCCTACTGCCTCCACCCTCCTCCATACTGCCTCCACCCTCCTCCATACTGCCTCCACCCTCCTCCATACTGCCTCCACCCTCCTCCATACTGCCTCCACCCTCCTCCATACTGCCTCCACCCTCCTCCATACTGCCTCCACCCTCCTCCATACTGCCTCCACCCTCCTCCATACTGCCTCCACCCTCCTCCATTACTGCCTCCACCCTCCTCCATACTGCCTCCACCCTCCTCCATACTGCCTCCACCCTCCTCCATACTGCCTCCACCCTCCTCCATACTGCCTCCACCCTCCTCCATACTGCCTCCACCCTCCTCCATACTGCCTCCACCCTCCTCCATACTGCCTCCACCCTCCTCCATACTGCCTCCACCCTCCTCCATACTGCCTCCACCCTCCTCCATACTGCCTCCACCCTCCTCCATACTGCCTCCACCCTCCTCCATACTGCCTCCACCCTCCTCCATACTGCCTCCACCCTCCTCCATACTGCCTCCACCCTCCTCCATACTGCCTCCACCCTCCTCCATACTGCCTCCACCCTCCTCCATACTGCCTCCACCCTCCTCCATACTGCCTCCACCCTCCTCCATACTGCCTCCACCCTCCTCCATACTGCCTCCACCCTCCTTCATACTGCCTCCACCCTCCTCCATACTGCCTCCACCCTCCTCCATACTGCCTCCACCCTCCTCCATACTGCCTCCACCCTCCTCCATACTGCCTCCACCCTCCTCCATACTGCCTCCACCTCCTCCATACTGCCTCCACCCTCCTCCATACTGCCTCCACCCTCCTCCATACTGCCTCCACCCTCCTCCATACTGCCTCCACCCTCCTCCATACTGCCACCACCCTCCTCCATACTGCCTCCACCCTCCTTCATACTGCCTCCACCCTCCTCCATACTGCCTCCACCCTCCTCCATACTGCCTCCACCCTCCTCCATACTGCCTCCACCCTCCTCCATACTGCCTCCACCCTCCTCCATACTGCCTCCACCCTCCTCCATACTGCCTCCACCCTCCTCCATACTGCCTCCACCCTCCTCCATTCTGCCTCCACCCTCCTCCATACTGCCTCCACCCTCCTCCATACTGCCTCCACCCTCCTCCATACTGCCTCCACCCTCCTCCATACTGCCTCCACCCTCCTCCATACTGCCTCCACCCTCCTCCATACTGCCTCCACCCTCCTCCATACTGCCTCCACCCTCCTCCATACTGCCTCCACCCTCCCCATACTGCCACCACCCTCCTCCATACTGCCTCCAGCCTCCTCCATACTGCCTCCACCCTCCTCCATACTGCCTCCACCCTCCTCCATACTGCCTCCACCCTCCTCCATACTGCCTCCACCTCCTCCATACTGCCTCCACCCTCCTCCATACTGCCTCCACCCTCCTCCATACTGCCTCCACCCTCCTCCATACTGCCTCCACCCTCCTCCATACTGCTCCACCCTCCTCCATACTGCCTCCACCCTCTCTCTACTGCCTCCACCCTCCTCATACTGCCTCCACCCTCCTCCATACTGCCTCCACCCTCCTCCATTACTGCCTCCACCCTCCTCCATACTGCCTCCACCCTCCTCCATACTGCCTCCACCCTCCTCCATACTGCCTCCACCCTCCTCCATACTGCCTCCACCCTCCTCCATACTGCCTCCACCCTCCTCCATACTGCCTCCACCCTCCTCCATACTGCCTCCACCCTCCTCATACTGCCTCCACCCTCCTCCATACTGCCTCCACCCTCCTCCATACTGCCACCACCCTCCTCCATACTGCCTCCAGCCTCCTCCATACTGCCTCCACCCTCCTCCATACTGCCTCCACCCTCCTTCATACTGCCTCCACCCTCCTCCATACTGCCTCCACCCTCCTCCATACTGCCTCCACCCTCCTCCATACTGCCTCCAGCCTCCTCCATACTGCCTCCACCCTCCTCCATACTGCCTCCACCCTCCTCATACTGCCTCCACCCTCCTCCATACTGCCTCCACCCTCCTTCATACTGCCTCCACCCTCCTCCATACTGCCTCCACCCTCCTCCCATACTGCCTCCACCCTCCTCCATACTGCCTCCACCCTCCTCCATACTGCCACCACCCTCCTCCATACTGCCTCCAGCCTCCTCCATACTGCCTCCACCCTCCTCCATACTGCCTCCACCCTCCTCCATACTGCCTCCACCCTCCTCCATACTGCCTCCACCCTCCTCCATACTGCCTCCACCCTCCTCCATACTGCCACCACCTCCTCCATACTGCTCCAGCCTCCTCCATACTGCCTCCACCCTCCTCCATACTGCCTCCACCCTCCTTCATACTGCCTCCACCCTCCTCCATACTGCCTCCACCCTCCTCCATACTGCCTCCACCCTCCTCCATACTGCCTCCACCCTCCTCCATACTGCCTCCACCCTCCTCCATACTGCCTCCACCCTCCTCCATACTGCCTCCACCCTCCTCCATACTGCCTCCACCCTCCTCCATACTGCCTCCACCCTCCTTCATACTGCCTCACCCTCCTCCATACTGCCTCCACCCTCCTTCATACTGCCTCCACCCTCCTCCATACTGCCTCCACCCTCCTCCATACTGCCTCCACCCTCCTCCATACTGCCTCCACCCTCCTCCATACTGCCTCCACCCTCCTTCATACTGCCTCTCCACCCTCCTCCATACTGCCTCCACCCTCCTCCATACTGCCTCCACCCTCCTTCATACTGCCTCCACCCTCCTC